AGCTAGCGGTACCCACCTGGCTCGGACAGCATGGACGGGCCGCGGGCCGCTGCCGCCCGTCACTCCACTGGTATTGAGGGAGGTTGCTATGGAGGATGTCCGCTGGGGCACCTGGAGTGGAAGGAGAGGGTGAGCGGTGGTGGCCTTCCTCCCTCGGTGCCAACAACCCCCCTTTGCCAAGGATTTGATGGAGACTTTCAGAAATGGCTCCCCTTGCAGAAAAAGCACGCCTCCCCCTCCTCCAGCAAAAACTGATTCAGAGCAAACTTTGCCGAGATCCGCAAACCTTGGCTGGGGAGGGGGGGTAGGAAGGAGTCACTGTGCCTGCAGAAGGGGAAGGGGGCTGCTGGGTGGCCCATGGCAGCGTCCCTCCCACCCCAGAGCGCAGCCTGCTTACGCACAAGGAGGGCCCCTTGCTCTGCACCTGGCTCAGCCCATCTGGATGCGGTCGGGGGCAGGCAGGAGTCCCCATGCGAGCGCCTGTCCTCCCACCCCCTCAATGATTACCTGGGGGGGGGCATCGGGGTCCATTTTGACCCAAGGTCCTCGCTGCTCAGCGGTGGGCCGGGATGGCTGTGGGATGGGCCCCTCAGAAGTGGGGTCAGAGTTCTGCCGGATCATGCCCGCTCGAGGAGGGGGCGGGGCGGAGGAGGCAGAGGCGGAGTCATGGACGGGGAAGGCAACCGTGTTCTTGCTGGGCTGGTCCTGCAGCGACTGGGAGCGAGGGACGGGGGCAGCGTATGGTTTGAGCGGGACGCGATGGGCGAGGTGGCTCTGCGGACGGAGAGGGCGTGTGCGGGGGTCACTGGAGGGGGGCTGGCGGTTCCCTCTGCCCTGCCTCCAGCGCTTGATGGGGTCCAGGGAGGAGGGGGGATGCCCCCGGCCTGGCTCTGCCCGATCCCCATCCCCAGCTTGGCTCCCCAACCTCCTCCTCCTCCTCTCCTGGAGCCAAGGCGGCTCCCTGAGGTCCTTCCCCGGAGGGATGCCCTGCCAACACCCCCCGGCTCTCTCCTTAGCGGGCCCCGTGGGTCTGCAGCCTCCCGCCTGCGGTAAGGGGGCAAGGGCAGCCGATGGGAGAAGCAGTTGATGGCAAGAAGCAGCTGGGATGGGGGGAGCGGAGCAGATGGGAGGGAGGAGAGAGAAGGGGAGGGGAGGGGACCCACCTTGTGCTGCCCCTCCTGGGGCTCAACAGGGCGCTGCATGGGGGGCGTTTGCGAGGAGGTGGCGAGGGACCCCGACTCGGCGCAGGACTGTGGGGCAGCATCTTGCCCGGGGCCCACCAGCTTGGCCTTGGCTGCTAGCGAGGGTGAGTTCTCCTTGTTCACGCAGCTCCGCTCCTCCACCTGCGGGCAAAGCCAGACTGGCCCACTCGCATTCTGCAGCCTTTCAGCCCCTCTTCCCAAGGACAGCCACCCTCCCTCCCTCTCGCCACCGTTCGGGGAAAGCCTTGGGCCTTGCTGGGGGCAGAGGGTACCTCACGGGCCCAGGCGGGCTTGTCAGTGGCGCTGCTGCGGTTGTAGTGGTAGAGCGGCTTCTTCTCCTGTTGCTGCTGCTGGTGCTGCTTCTTTTTTTTGTTGTTGTGGGGGGGCTTTAGCGTGGGAGG